AAAAAAAAAAAACACTTAGAGAAAGTCATTCTGGCACCTGGCTGGAACACACAACATTTCTCAAAACTTCACATGCAAGATCAAAACCACAACAAACACTGCATGGCAAATAAAGCGTCATTCATGGTCTCAAGCTAGATAAACCCTCATGAGACTGAGTCATACTGTGCCGTTTAAGTATTTTAGAAGCTGATACAAATATCTACTGGGTATAAGACCACCAGGGAGACAGACGCCACAGTTCAGACCATTCAGACTGCAGTTAGAATACCTTTTGTGTGTTTGTCTTCAATTAACTCTCATTTAATTATACTCTTGATCCAGTCACCCATGGTTAACAGCTATTAGAAAAATAAGTACTAAAAACAAGGATGTAAACACAAGAGAGCACAACTTGAGGAAGAAAACGGTTCTGTACCTTTGCCCTTGGCTTGAGAAAAGAGATGAAAAAGGAACAGAGAGATAAAGAGTATCCACAGAAGGTAAGCATGGAGAGATATGAAGAAACGGTCAAAGCACATTTCACATCTATGCATTCAAGGTTCACAGCAATTCAGTCAATTCAAGCATGCATAATCAATCTCAACAGAGTGAATACCAGTGAAGGAGTGTGGCATACCTTGATCCGCCATCATCATGTGTGCAAATCCTTTGAGAAACAGAGAAAGTGACACAAAGAAAAGAATATCTTTAGGTATGTATCAGACCATACGATGACATTAAATCTTTGCAGAAGGAAAAGGTTTATGAACATCTTATTTATTTTTAACACTTATATTTTAAGGTGTCATTGTTACACAGGTTACATGTATTTACTATTATAATAACAATTAATTATGCATAATTACATGCAAGTAACCCAAATCCTAACCCTAATCCTAACCCTAACTATACATGTAGTTAATTAATATTACTCAGTACTTAAATGTATAATTGTGACCCTGGACCACAAAACCAGTCTTAAGTCACTGGGGTATATTTTTAGCAATAGCCAAAAAAACATTATATGGGTCAAAATTATCGATTTTTCTTTTATGCCAAAAATCAATAGGATATTAAGTAAAGATCATGTTCCATGAAGATATTTTGTCAATTTCCTACTGTAAATATATCAAAACTTAATTTTTGATTGGTAATATGCATTGCTAAGAACTTCATTTGGACAACTTTAAATGCGATTTTCTCAATATTTTGATTTTTTTTTTGCACCCTCAGATTCCAGATTTTCAAATAGTTGTATCTCGGCTAAATATTGTCCTATCATAACAAATGGAAATACATCAATGGAAAGCTTATTTATTCAGCTTTCAGATTATGTCATGATGTATAAATCTCAATTTCAAAAAATTGACCCTTATGACTGGTTTTGTGGTCAAGGGTCAAAATTACACTGTAACAAGGACACCTTAAAATAAAGCGTAATCTAAAGTTTTAATAATCTGACACAAAGTGGTAATTACAAAAGTCTCTGCTTTTGCATTTTCATGGAAATTATTGGTTTAACTTGTTTATTTTTATTTATTTAGATGTTTTATCTAATGTAACAGCTCAATTTTTTTGATTATAAAGTGACAAAAATGTAAATACATTATGAATAGTCATCTATAGTCAAAAGTTGGTGTAGAAACAACCCTCTACGGACACCTTGGCAATTGAATCGCCATTGGTTAGTAAATTGTTTTGTTTACTCGCCAGACTATATAATAAATGTTTGTAAAATGGCACAGTTTTTTTAAATATCTGAAAGTACACTCTTAACATCAGTCAGTCAAGCATTATAATATGATAATCAATATTATTTAATGATAGAACTTTAGTAATTAGAATTAAAACTTGATAACCATGTATGAATGCATATGCAGGACTGGTGGTGGTGCTTTTTTGGTCATTCAGAGTTTCTGTAAAAACAAATGGGGAAAAAACTAACAAAAATACTGATAAGACAATAATGATACAAATTCTACTAATAAGAACAATATAAAACGCACTAAGGATTAATGAGCTGCTGGATTCATGAATTTTAATCAGGTTGTGTGCGTTCGCTCGAACTGATTTGCTGAAATCAAAACAGGGACGATAATAGGTGAGCCGGAGAACCCGGCAGTTCTTAAAAGCTGAAGAATTCCAAAGGAACGCTGTTATTTTGACAGGAAAATACAACAAAGAATATCGTTTACATGTAGCGCTTCAATTCCTTCAATTCTTCTGCGTGTGTGTGAGACAAAGCGACGGCGACGGCATTTACTCGCAATGTAGAGGGTTGAGAGGGTTGAAACACACAGAAACTACTAAATTAGACAAGTAATTACAAAGAAATGTAAAGAAAAGTAACGCATTTAACTAAATGTGAAATTTTGATGTAGATGTTTTGATGCAAAAAATACAACTTTTAAAAATCATTTTTACAGTGTTGTGCATTTTATGTCGTTTAATATAAATGTGGCAAAGTATATTGATTTTAATGATTAATTTAGTGATTAAACTCATTTTATTTTTCCAAATGCATATTATAGATCTTATTGTGAACAGTTCAATCATGTATATTTCTTTTTTTTTTATCTATCTCAACTTCGGTTTCATGGCAACTAAGTATTTTTCATTATGGTAAAGAGAGCAATAGCATGTTTGAAAATATACGTTTATATTACTGTACATTTGAATAACATATGCACTCTACATCATTAATGCTTTCACCGCCTATAAAAGACAGCTTCAATTCAGCCTTAAGGACATTATCAACTCACCTGGGATGCTGTTGGCCTCTGATGGTGTTGCAGAAAAGAAGACACAATGGAAAAAAGAAAAAAAAGAGGAGAGAAACATTGCAGCCATTAGAGCCCACTCATATTATCTTTGCATGAAAACTATCATGCAAACTCTGACACACCTGCCAGCATGCACTGAGCAGACATCTGCCCTGTGCATGTACATAGAAACCCTTAAAATGCCCCTTGCATCCATCCATCCACCCCCTCTTCTCCCTGGGATATGAGGAGGGGGGGATCAGATCTGTGGTGTATGAAACAACATGACACACCAACATCTAAGAGGTCTAGTTCATCTTCCATGTCTTACACACACTCCCAAAGCCCACATCCACGCCTGGGTCATAAATCCAAACAGGCAACA